TACACATATTGGTTTATAATATTCGGTCTTAAATTTCACCAGCAAAATATTTGTTAGTTTAATTTTAGGAAAACATTCTTTGCTTAGAAAAAGAGAGATGCACTATAATGATATTTTGAGTAAAAAATGTGGTACTTATAAATATAAAAAATTGTGCCTTTAATATAGCTTGTTCCAATAGTTATTCGCAATCGCTTTTTGATTCATCAAATACCAACTAGTGCATCCACATGTTCACTATTTTATTTGGTGCTGTGCCAGGCCTTTGAAGTTTAGAGAGCTCTTACCGTTTAAGGGATAAGTCATTTGGGTGGGTTGAGTTTGATGTCACATACGTTACTTACGAGTAGGAATCTTACTAATGTGAATATCTACAACTCTGATGTGTATTATAGCGACATATTTGTCACATTGCATCAGGTTTCATATGACTTCCATGTGATGTATTCCAAAATACATTATATACGCTGTTTTTTTAATTACTTAGATACTTAGATGAATGTCATACAGACTACTTTGTGTAGTAGAGTGTTGAATGGTACTGTAAATGAATGAATGAACTATAGTAGTATACAGGAAAAGGTGATGATCAGTTATGTATATTTGCATCAAATTTGGGGAAATGAGAAAGGAATGTTAATGATCATGAGACTTATCTTTTGGTTATTTAAATATAAAAAATGAATCAAAATCCATATTTTTAGTTTGTAAATACTTTTTTTCAAATTATAAATTTATCTATTCTGTGTTGGCAACTACTTTTCCCAGTAAAGACAGCAGTAAAATTTTAGATGTCGGTGGAGATTCTATTTTTGCTGTTACTGACTGACTGCTGAGAGTCATGTTTTTTTTCACTGATAATTTGTCTGGCCTAGAATCCTGGTTATTTTCATTTGGAGAATAATTTTGGATTCTACTCTAGACTAAAAATGTGTTTTGAAATATGGCATAGCTTTCAAGAACAGTGTCAGTATGTTGTTATTTTCTGGGTCATTGAAGATTGAACAAATATGATTTGTTCTTTAAGTGTATAACCCCCTCCCCTCATCCATTTTGAATTTCTGGTGGAGTCTGAGGTCATGTTGAATGTTAAAGACCTTCACTCTTGAAAATAAAGTATTTTTATAATACAGTTCCCTTAGAATTTACATAGTGAAAACCCATTTATTTTTCACTGAAATTTAATTTCACTATTTTGATGTTTTGCACAGTTTCACTGGGTTTTATTTTCACAAACAATGAGTGCTATTGTTATTGTTATTTTACATAGATTTATTGATAATTTTAATTATCAGTGAAAATAGTGAAATTAGAACCCAGTGAATAATCAATGCATTTACAGTATTTCCCCCTCAGGTATGAAAACCACCCAAGTATTGCTGTTAAATATTTTTTAAATGCCACATTGTTTTTTTAATTTGGGGATTTTAAAATATACTTATGCATTATGATATTTATATATATAACATTTTTTTAAATGTAATATTTTGGACGTGTTAATTTCAAATTGTTAATTATAATTTGAGCTGCAATAAATTGTTACTAAGTTTGAAATTAGCTGATAATAGTTTTTATTTTTGAAATGTTTGCGTTTTCTTGAATATGCATGCACATTTTTAGTGATGGTGAAAATACAAATGGTTGCCCAACACTTCCCCCCCTGGTTTGGTTTATCTGACTATCTTAACACAGGTACATGTAGGTTACATACTCTCCAATAAGAATTGGACTTCTTTATAATATTTTGCTTATTAGGTCCCATTGAATGGTAGTCTAAAACAGGAACTTGTGTTTTTGGTTTTGCTCTGTGTGTGTGTGTGTGCGTGCATCCGATATAATTCCTCCGATGCCTGAACCAATTACATACGCATACATCATCCTTCTATTAGGCTGAATGGAGGCCACGATGTAAAAAAATCATCGAATTCAAGCATTTCTCCAATCTAGAATCATATTTCGGCCATGATGGATTTTATTCAATGTACATACATAGAACATCATGGGACTTTAAAGCATGTCATTTTGTTTTTTAGATCAGACTCAAAATGACTGACTAGTGGCCATTTTGTTTTATTGAATGCAGTTCCAGAGCCATATTGCTGACATGCTCTGACTGTTCATTTTCAGTCTTTGTACTACTATGTAATGCAATTACTTGTTTTATTTAAAGTTGATATGAGCATCAAGCATTTGGTTTTGTGATTTGATCCAAAATGGTCCCAACTGGTGACCATGTTATATTTTTTTATGTGTCCTTAAACGATTAATCTGATGTGTCTTGCCATTTTTTTTTGTAGTGACTTTATTTGCACATTACAACAATTTGGTGGGTATATTCAAATTTCTGTTTGAATTTGAATTTTTTTTTTAAGTTTTCATGATCAAATTATTGCTTATGAAATAACGTTTCAACTGGTACTGGTATTATTACGTTGCGTGTGACAGTATTCCCTCATAAACTAAGATTGACCACTGGGGCGCTCTTTCCTTCAAAATTGTCAGTGTAATGGACCTTTTATTACAACAAAGCTGTTTCAAAGAAATTTAAACTTTAAACCCCTTGTTTTTAATGATATTGGATGGTGAATTATTTTCACTTTCAACAAATGGCATCCACTCACGGTGAGAATTGTAAGTCATCTGCTTAGTCCTAGTTGTTAGTAAATTATAGTGAGCTAGTTTTTTATTTGCTGCTGTTCTAAGATAGAGACTTGTCAAAAATACCATTACTATAATCGCGCCCTCTAGTGCCGTTGCACGTCTGTGATTTGTCTGTTCTATTTGTCAACTGTATTTGTGCGTGTAGTCGTTATTTATTATGAAGATTATCTTTTTGAGAGATTTTAGTGAATTCAATATGACAAACGACTCTACACGACTTCACAACACTGGAGGGCGCTCTTTACATATTTCGGGGATATGTTTGTTTTCGTGATCGTGATTGCTTATCATAGCAATTACGCTCTGGCTCAGGATTAAATATGGCGATCACACGATTGAGTGCAAATATGCAAATTCTAGAAAAAGCTTGCAATTTTGAGCGTGCGAAATACAAACGATAGCATAGTTTCTTCACATTTTGTGCTATTTTGAAAAATAATAATAAACGCTTAAAAAAAATGAGAATCACAGGACATGATTACGTGTTTTTCGCAGAGCCTCTATTTCATTAATAACGCCAAACTAAACATATACATCCTACATTAAACATCAAAGAATGAATTATTCTGTCTAAATTTAGAACAAGTAACCACAATTTAACAATTGAGAAAGCAAGGCATATCCAGCCAAAGACTAGAAAATAGTATTTGTAAACAATGCTCGCTAAATGAGATTGAAGATGAATTACTATTTTTACTACTTTGTTCTAAATATCATTTACACCGACAAAAACTTCTTACAGGTCTTGAATTCCCAGATAAAATCACCAATTCATTCCAGAAACTTATATATCTACTTAAAAACAGGAATGAGGAAATGATCAGAAGCATTGATAGTATTGTAAACAGCTACTAGTAGGTGCTTCAAAACAAGAAATAAAATTGCATATTTTTTCTTTTGATGTTACTTGTACTACTTGTTTAGTTTTCGTTTCCTATATATTCAATTGCTAACAACTGATAGAAATGTTTCTTTCCTAAAGACGCAATACCATATTACTATTATTATATATTCATAACGCCGACACTAGAAAGCACTCCAGTTATCCTTGATATCGGCTTTTCATGTTTGGCATCCACGACCATGTTAAGTTGACCAAAGCACGCATATTTCGCTATCTGTTCGTTGTGGATCTATTCTATATGAAATAATAATCTATGTAACCAAATGTTAAGTATGTTATGGAAAGTCCTCTTGAAATTTAAAGTAATTTTACATCATGACCGAACCAGACACGGGTGCACTAGAACATATTGGTAACATTTACCAAACATTATTTCACCTGAATCATCGCATGCAATTCCCCATTACTTCGTTATGAGCCAATTA